CCACCGATTATACGCCAGAGAGGCAAGAACTATCATAGCGAATCACAATGATGACAAGGTATGGTCACGTGATCTTTACATGGACTTCTATTGACTACCACTGTCTTTCAATTTGATATACATACGAATGCCATTAATATTATTTATTATGCATGTATAATTTGATGTCTATTGTTTATTGTTGATGATCTCCAGGAACTTGTGTGAGTTAAGATGGCATTGTTAATTTCATTAAAAAAAGAGAGATGATAATGAGAGAGGAACGTTGTGTTTTTCTCGCAATTGTGTCCGTGCAGGTTGTGTGGATTACAATCAACACCACTGACACCTACAACAATATGTCATAAATTTGCATGTATCAAACGCCATGGTTATTAGAAGTTTATAGCAATCTTTAATCCAAATACTTGAATAAATGTTCTTGAAATAGATTGTCTAAGATAGGTTGAGGGGAAGCAGATGTGCGATAATTTGTATTACCTGTTTTACTCACTTGTTAGCCGATGTTTATGTACCTGGCATTCCAAGCTGCCCATGTACCACTACAGGCACCTGACGAATACGTTAAAATGTATTCTAACATCGAAGATCCTGATAGACGTAATTATGCCGCCATGGTTACATGTATGGACGACGCTATAGGTAGCGTAGTGGACCAACTAAAACTATCAGGTCTATGGGATAATACAATTTTGGTGGTATCCACGGGTGAGTATATGTGAAGGAGATTGGCGATGGAAACCGATGTATACAACCGAGAACAAAATAGACTATTACATATAAGCTGTGGGTCGCATGTAATATTCAAGTTATCAATACTGTCTTTGTGTTATTTACCACATATCTGCGATCCCGAGAAAGACATATTTATACCTCACATCTATCCCCCCCCCCAGTGTTGATATATATGTCCACTTGACGACAACTATAGCTATGATGAGGGCATATTAGGGCTGGGGCAGTAGGGTTGGGGTGGGTGTAAAAAAGTATTTCTTCATCTTGATCGCAGCGTCTTTTAATTACACGAACATCATACAAACTATTATGCAAGGCATCACCATAGTTGACAGAGACACAACAAACGATGCCGTGTCCTTCCCACATGCGGTACACCACAAGCGTTCCTACAGTCAGCAATATCCAACCATCACCAATAAATCAATTAGGGATTACAGTGCTCCAGTGGAGAGCAATTTATTTCAATTATAATGCCCAACATGAGTGATCAAGCCTCTACAACAAAACATGCGAATTTCTATTGGTTTTTAATATCCACATGCATAAATGTGTTACTTTGTGTTTGTCAACAATTCACAAAATTACATTACGGTATTATGATGGCTTAATTATCGTGTTCTTAAACCTTACGCCAGGTACCAGAGATCGTTACGTTCGCAACCTTTCACCGAACAAAGGCACACACAGATCTAGAATTCGTGTCAACTCTTCTAGTCTTAGTCGCCCGTCGAGAACTCTCCAAGACAGAATGCCTCGGGGAAAAGTCCCCCAAGACTCTCTCGCTTCGCGGAGCACTCCCAAGACTCCTCTGCCTCGTGGAGACCCCGCCACCGACAGACTAAGACTCACTTTATTCACTTCTCAAACTTTAACATGGAAGTTCAAGAGCTTGAGGCGTGGCCTCCACACATTTCACTCGCATGTAGCCAATCACACGAAGTACTTAACACGTCATATATACTTGATTAATTGCTCCCTATATTTGGAAATAACTTCTACATCCAAACCGTTAGTTTATACTCGTGGGCGCCAACAGTGGCTAAAACAACATTCCATAGTTGACATTTATATCCGCCATTTGTTCCACTCACTGATCCGACCAACCCCCAATACGCGGTATGAACCTAAATCATGACAAGTTATGGGAAAGCGTTGAAGGATATCATCCAGCCACTCAGACGAAACCAGTCATCAAGTCGTATCAGTGACCGATCTCTAGACACATAGAAATAAATCATGACAGTACATCCATCATCACATTGCTGACACAATGTTGAAATAATAATATTAGAATAGGCTTACTGATGTTTTGATGTAAAACAAACTTTCATTGTTTGGCATGTAGTAGAAATACATAAACTAATGGAACGACACACATATTACTATCAATTAGTCGCCTTTCTGTTTTTTTTTTAGGCTAGCAGATCGTGTATTTCAAAAAAAACATAACATAAAAAGGTGTGACGCGTTAGATATTGCAGAACGTTGTTAAAGCGGGGGAGTCGTCACCTGCGCATGCGTCAGATGGCTATAGCGCGTCATTGTTTACAAACAAGCGTCTTCCCATGAGCCTTTGCGTTTTTAGCATGTTGTATCGTC